GGTTGGGAAGAGAAAGGGCGGAACTTGATGATAATCTTCCCATGGCATTAACATCCCTCTTCCGCTTCTTCTTATTCTCCCAGTATGAAGCAAACTGCTCTTTCCAATTGACAGTTCCCAGCGATCCTGTCCCATCTCCAAACTCCTCCACAAATTTCTGCTGCCATAGATCATTGTTTGAAGACAAGCATTGCATCTCTGAAGAAACACATTCCATTTTTGCAATATCAATGGCAGCTAGTGACTCTAAAATCTTGAGCTTCAGCTCTGTTGGGAGGCGCATCAAGCATGGCAGAAGAACCTGACCAACCTTCTTACAAATATCTATCAATAAGGCTAAACAAGGCCATCCTTCAAGATTTTCCACAACTCAATTTTCATTTTCAAGATACAACATGTATGACCTATCATTTCAATTCATCCCATCATTCTTTCCATCTGTCCACACAAAATCTATAGTTGGCGCAACTTTATATATATATATATATATATCCAAACATGCACGATATAGCTCAGATCCAATGCCCTAAGCTTTGGAACATCAAAACAATCGTTTCAAACATGTTTTTATAACCCAAAAGTTCTGGAAGCGTGTAACAAAGTGACATTACCAAATTATTAGAAGTTTGCTCTTCTGGAAGACAAAATCCATCCACTTGTGTCCAAGATATAGAATTGGTCCCACTAAAACCAGATTCTATAAAAACAGCATGGACTGCAATGTCCAGGAACTTGTAACTGTAACCATCATCATCCATTTCTTTCACCAATAGCTTCCTCATGAAATACAGTTCAGAGAACCTCTTGCCGCCAACATCTGCAGAACCAGTATCAATATCCATAGCTTCTACACTGGTCAATTCTAGTGTTTCTAAGGTTTCTCCACTCGGAGCTTTCGAATCTAGAGATCTATGTCTTCCAGTAACTGCATCACTCGTATCGGATCCTCCAATCTCATGCGCTCACCATTCTGTCCTTGCACAAGCATATCTAGAGAAATTTCAGATTTAGTTTCTTGAGAATTGGCATCATTGGCATGAACACCAGCATGCCCACGTGCAAACAAATCTTGGTTTTCGAGCTTATTAAAACCAAAAACTTCAGACTCTGGAAAACTCGTCAATTGATCAGGCGTAGGCTCTTGTACATTACCTCGATGACCTCGAGCCTGTTCTCTTACAGAGGAACTAGAACCTAAACACAGCAATGGGATTGACAGAGAAATAAACAAGGTCACCAAACGTAATTCCAAGAGATTGCAAAGAACCTCTGGCGAAGATGCGTTGAACTCATCCTTTCTATTAAGAGACAAATATGAGCCTGCGGAAAAATATTGCTCGAGAGGGGTTGTCCTTTAGTTGCTGTAAAATACACGAAGCGGGCACTTCCATTTTCACAATTTCTTTAGATTGCACAGATCTCAATCTCAGTTTCATGGCTAAAACTGGTTAATCAATACAGAATAATTCTGAGATTAAACTACCAAAAGCGAAAGACGAAACACAACAGTCCTAAATGACAAGAAAGCTCGCAAAATATGAGAAAAAGACACTGATTTTCTCTGACTTAACCTAGTAATAAAATGTCATTCTTAGCAGCAGATGAAAAAACAACAGGATCAAGATTTTGGGTCATCAACAGTTTCGATTACCTTGCCGTCTCTTGGAACCAAACAAGGAATTCCATCTTTTATAGGAAAAGAGACAGCAATAGAATCACTGAAGAGAGAATTTGTTTCTTTGCAATACCTTAACGGCTGTTTGGAGATTGGGCAGACAAGAATTTCAGATAGTGTTTTGCTGATTCCTTCTCCTGCTCGTTTCAACAGGGGCTTGCTGCTTAGCCTCATCCTTTTCGATGAACCCTCACTCTATCAAACCAGATCTCCAAATTCTCTCTCTGGTTAGTGTTTATTGAGTTAAATTTAGACTCATACGCTAACACCTAAAACATTCAGCGCCTAGATTTATTTATTCCGTCAATTACCATTGTACCCTTTTCCTCCAATTATTATCTTTTTGGATTTACAGGGTTTGCAAAATAAAACAGGAGGTTTATACCATTAATTATAGAAATTTTCCTCATATTTATTGGTTTTTTTTTATTATTATTATTGAGATTTACACCATTATACCTGAAGCTTACGTCTTTAGTCATCTAATTATTTATAAAAAAAATATTTGACAGCGACATATAATTCACCATTTTAACAAAAAAAAAAAATTACAATTAACTATGGGTCTATTAGACTTCCATACTTCTTTTTTAATGTTTTTATTTAAAAAAACATTTATTCAAATTTATTTAAATAAAATAACTAAAATTACTTTTCAAAAAAAATTCATTAAATATCATTTGGCTCTAATTTATTTTCTTATGAAGATTTGTTTATATTAGCAAACATTTTTTTTATACAACTCTTCCTAATTTGTTTCTTCAAGTTTAATTAAAGTTAATTATAATTCAATAAATAAAATTATGTATAAAATATTATTTTATTAAACATTCTTTTCTGATGAGATTCTTGCCCCTGTTTTTTCCTCTCTTTTTTTTCAAAAGAGTTGAAATACTAACTTTTCATAGAAGAAACAATTTTATTGCTATATAATTAGCAAAAATGGAAGAGCTCTTTGCACGAACGAGTATCTTAATATCTATCTTTGAGCCGGCACACTCTTTGATTAGTGTCACAAACTTCTTAACATTTATTAATAGATATAATTTTTTATTTATTTTATTAAATGCATTTATCATTATTTTGATTTTCAATTTTTTTTTTTTAAATAATGTAAAACTGGGTAGGAGGTCTGCGTTGCACCACATGCTAGACCAACTCTTTCCTAGCACAAAAAAAATATATACAAATAATGCTTAATGCTTTTATATAAGTAAGAATAATCTAAGACTCAAGTAGTTGAAAAACACCAAATGCACTAGAGCATTAACTCGGAAAGTAAATTAAATAAAATACTATAAAGTATATTCAATCAATTTATATAATTTAATTAAAAAAATTAAATTCGATAAAGATAAAATAAAACTCTAAGATAACATATATCATTTTCAAAATTATTATAAAATCACATAAAAGCAAAAAAAATAGAACTCAATCTTTAATTAAATAAATATTGAATGAAAAAAAAGCTTGAATGGATTTGCCAACTAATTAAATTACACATGTTGTTAGAAAGTGATTCAGAAAACAAACCAAATAAAATATTATAAAGTGAATATTTAATATTTATATATAACTAATTAATTTAATTTAATTTAAAAAAAAATAAAGAACAAAAAAAATCTATGGCAACTCATGTGATTTCAAAAATCATTGAAAATTCTTACAGAAAAAAATGGTCACATCTCCAATTAAATAAAAATTAAATGAAAAAGGGTGTGAATTAATTTGCTAAGCCAGTCCAATTTTTAAAACAACGGGTCATATGATCTTTATATAAAAATGAGCTTAGAGCAAGATAAAAATTTTAAAAAAAGGTTTTTTTAAAAAAACCAAGCTAACTCAAATGAATATTTTAATCTCGGGTTAATATATTAAATATGTTAAAAAATGAATTTGAAAAATAAATATCAATTTAAATCCTATATTTAGATTCAATAAAAAAAGCTCAACACCTAGTTGATTTAATGTTAAGGGATGGATTTGAAAAAAAAATATCAATTTAAAATTTTAAAGAAAAAAAATAAATAAGGATAAAATTTGATGAAATTGTAATAAATAAATAAATTTTAAAAATTATCACAAATAAAAAGAAAGCAATAGAAAGAATTTAGATCAAATTTGATATCTAAAAAATCAAAAGGGGGTGAAATTGTAAAAAAATCAAAATTTCTAATTATTTTAAATAAAATAAATAATAATCAAAAGAAAATAAACCAAATTAAAAAAAAAACAAATTAAAGAGTTGTCTTAAAAATGTAGAGGGTCAACACCAAAATTAATTAAGAGAGAACGGAAAAAAAGATCATTAACACCAAATTGATGACGCTTCAAGCACACTTATTGTCTAGGAGTGGAGAAGTCGTCTTGATGATTCTGTTATCGCCCTGAAAGTTGATATTCAACTATTAAATGATGATGCACGTATTATCTAAAACTAACAAACATTGTTCATATGCTAACTTTATTTTTAAAAAATTAATTTTTATGCTTATGAAGTAACCATCTACTCTTTGATATAGCATGAGAATTACATAAAAACTATTATGAAAAGATAAAAACATAGCTAAACCACAGCTTTCTTTTTTTTTAATTCAAAGAGCAATGAAGTAAATTTATTTAGCTAAAACAAAGAAAAGAACTAAAAAGCCCTTTATATTTTATTTTTTTTGGCCAGCCAAGATTAAATGAGTAATTTCCTATGCATAAGAGTTAAAACAACCAATTTATCCCAACCAGCTTGACAATGACCAGTGGCTTCCATTGAGATATCAATACTACTCTCATTGCTTAGGCCATTGATTTTTGGAATAAGAAGCAAATCAGTAAAAACATTGTTTCAATCCACAAATGATACTCAAGCCATTGATTTTTAATTTTGAAATGCGGAGTAAAATAGTGAAAGCATTGTTTATAGTGTTTTCCCGATGTGTTTTAGGTCTTTGTTAATGCCTATATTTTCTTTCAGTGCTGATAAAAAGATTTGAGTCCAGACCTGCTGCGAGATGCAGGCAAGCAACTAATACTATCTACTTTCCGACCATTCCCCAGATTTTCCCTCGAAGGCTTCATCAACACTAGCGTCACTAAACAATACATGGATACAAAAAGGAATATGATTTGCTGTAACAATGCCTATAAACTGTAATAGAAAATACCAGGACAAAGCCTGAAGGACATGACACCCTTTCCATCTTAAGATTCAGCTGTTCTTGATGTTCACTTTACCACACTTCTACTGGATTTTGCACCCAAACACAAGGTAAAAACCAAAACACAAAAAGCCAACTCTTTACAGCATAAATTTATACAACCATAAATTATGCCACCGCCGCCAAAACCCCTCGATATCATAGAATGAAAACATAATCCTTCCTTTGCCTTTTAATTCACAAGCATGAGAAACTTATAAGAGTGTGGTTCTTTAGCTACTGAAGATGTCCAGCACACAATTTAAAAAGGAATAGACAGCATAACAACTACAAGGAAAAAGAGCGCAAGAGTGTCTGGAAGATGGAAGAAAGTACTACTGCTGCCAGTCGGTCTCTTGAGCCTCCTATATACAAAAGCCCCGGTAGCTTCATCCTTCACAACTGTAGCCTCCACCACATCTCTTGTCTGGAATTTTTTTACATACAATTAATGGGCTCGGTTCGGTCCTGCACTGCAAGGTGCTCTGAGACATCGGCTAGTGATTTGAGATTGCACTTGATTAAAGCTTCAACAAAGTAGCATGTTTCATCCTTCGTGTTCCCATCAGGCACATCCACCACAAAAGATTCAATCACCAGAGTCCCTGGTCGTCCATCAATGATCTCTGGATGGAGGGAAATGATTGAAGAATAGTTCTGGGGCAAAGAAGAAAGTAAAACCAGGTTGGGTTCGTTTGGGTTGACAAGAAAAGAAATGAGAGAACTTAGAAATCAAGAGTCAAGAAAGAGAACAGTGAACACGGACCTTAAGGCTTTGAATATTCACTCAATTGCAACTACCCTCCAACGAAAAATGATAATTTTTCTAGACAATTAAACTAAAGTCTTTATGACTTGTAAGCAAACAATGGCAAGGAAATCCAAAACTAGTTACGTTATTGGATTCCATTCAAGTGGAAAAATTCATGAGTATAACTTCAAAACATTTCAACCACAGAGACTGAATTTCAATTACATGGCCGTTTTGAAAATTTTGAAGGGTAAACAAATCGACTTCCCTACAAACTCAATATATGTACTCAAGAATTGCAGATCACACGGCAGAAGGTGCACAAAATTTGCAGTTTTCAGGAAGCTAAAACAAATTCACAGGAAATAGAGATCATACTTGTATATCAAGAAAAAAAGAAAAGAAAGAACGGATTCCATACCTTAAGTCTGTGATCCCCACCAACTATCCTGATGCTGAGGATATGCTCATCATCATCGAGAAGTTCCAATCTTTCAGTACTTGTGGTGGCAGGAAGCCCTGACCTAACATCTACTTCTCTAAGACTCCCAATCTCAAGATTTCCCAGTACAACACACCTGCTGATGAAAGGCTTGTACTTCTGTGGTTGATCAAATCTTCTCACCAATGACCAAACCTATTGGAATCAAAGAAATATTTCAGAAATGATTACGCAAACCAAGAAAAAACAAGTGAAGGAAATTCGTTAACAATCAAATTCCAAAGAGAATAGAAACCGAGACATTATTGAAGGACAAATCGTTCCCACAGATTTACTCACTATTGATTCCCCTTTAAACCTGCATATTCTTTTCAAAAAGGATTCTCTAATACAAACCATCCAGTTGGCTGGTAAGAACAGTGCATGAAAAAGAAATCCGTGGCACTTCCCAAGCTATTCGTCCCAATTAAAAAAATTAAAAGAATACCTGCAATTAGTTCAATTGTACTGGACCACCTTGTTTCGTATAATTCAAACTTGAGCACTTTTCTATTGAACAAAACTCAAACTTTTGGCTCAGCAGTTTCAAGATTTTTCAAGAGTCTAAACAGTACAGTTTAGAAAAGAATGGCGAAAGTCATAGCTGTACCTGACAAAGACCATAAGAAATCCTAACGCAAAAGGGAAACTAAAAAAGAAAAAACAACTGAATTTAATCAAGAAACGAGTGTTTCAGTTTGAACAACTCATTTTCACTCTTTGCATCTTTGCCTTGAAAGGGGACCAAAAACAGAAGACCAATGCTTGCACATTCCAGACGAAAAGATGTCACATTGAACTGTAAAAATTACATTCACACATCCAAAAAATTGAATACGTATGTCTCTCCTCTTTTCCTGACTTTTCTCAGCAACCAAACAGAGGTCAAACGAAGAGGTTGGTTAATCAAACACACCAAAATGAGGAAAACAACTCCGTGGTCCATACACAACCATCTAAAACAGAAAAAGAAACATAAAACATGGATCAGGACCAATCAAAGAATCCAAACTTGCAGAATCTTCACAAACAAAACACACCTGAAATCAAACCATTGAACAACATAAAGAAAGCCCAGAAACCAAAATCCAGAAAGGAAACACACACATACATATCAATACATACAACACATATACACAAATATAGAATAGTTAAAGGGGAAAAAAGATAGAAACTTTACAAGTTGAACTGGAGCTTTGATGTGCTTGACAAGAGCAGAACTACACTGATGGTCAGCAAGATCATCATGTGTATGGTGCCTTCTTATATATTCACTCTCAACACATCCTATCCCTCCTCTTCCATTACAATTTCCATTCATTTTCTCTCGTTTTCCTTGAAAACAAACACGCCCTTTATTTCTCTCTTCCTCTACTAACCATCAAAGATATCAATTTAGTAAAAATAGCCCACTTTGTATCTCTTCAAGGATGACTTTTCTCTGTCGCCGGAAGTCTTCCCTGGTCAATGGACGGTGGGAATTGTAAAGAGGTTTATGGCGGGGCGTGTGTGAGGAAATAACCTCAAGCCTCTCTATCATATCATCGCCTGAAATTAAAGTATTAAGAGGTTAGCTAAACGACAACTTCGAAATATCGTGTTATTATCTGTTGACGGAATTGCCCTTAGCTAAAATAAGAAACAATTCCTTTTCAGATTTTTACTAAAAAAGACAAACAAATCTTAAATCATTAGTGAAAAGCATGTCAATATATTGTTTTATTTATAAATCAATTCGTTGAATTATTGTGTGTATAGATTTAATGATATGATTTCATTAACATAATGTAAATTAATAATATAGTGAAACCATCTTTAATATAAAGTTGTGTCCGTCATTTAAATCAAATGAAAATATTTTTTAAATCAATTTCAATAACTTTATTTTACCCTTAATAAAATTGGAATGGTTATATTAATTATATCATAATTATGAGAATATTGATAAAAAAAAGAGTTAATTGTAGAAAATATTATTTTATTTATACATATACCATTGGATTAATGAGCTAATGAAGAATTTTCCTTGTCATTTTGGAGAAAAATGCTGTCTAGGGTTAATAAAAGCTGTCCATTTTATGGGAACATAAAGTTGTGGCATCATTTAATAAGGTATGATCCATATTGTTTATTGGTTTCACGTTTGGGAGCTATGATGTATTAATATTTATAATGCTAATTATTAGTTTGTAGGGTCAATGATTTTGCTCCCTTGACATCTTATCTTTACCCTCTTTGGATGTTGAGAGGTGGAATTAAAGATGGATTTTTCCATTTTTGTATACTTTTTAAATTATCATTTTGTCCTTTTTTTAAATAATTACAAAAGCTACTGTAGATTAATAATGCTAGAGGGTTTTTTTTTTTTAATCAACTTATAACTAAGCACATCTTTCTTTCTTTTTTGCCTTTAGTTATAGTGATTGTTTTCATAATTCAAGAGATGGTAACATTCCTAACAACAAGAAAAAAAAAAAAAACTCTTTATAAAAATGGTAGGATAATGTGCCCTTAAAATTTTTGAATATCCTAAGATTTTATCTCGTAATATAAAATTCAATAATCCCTATTTATCTAATGTATTTGGTATTATGGTGTAAGGTATTTTTTTTTAAAAAATCATTATATTATTTTTTATTTATATTTTTTACATCAATATATAAAAAAAAAACACTAAAGCATTGCCAAGCCCATGGAATTACTTATATTATTCTCTCAAAACCCTAGCACACTCACAATATTCATGCAAAGGATAAAATTGGCAAGTCAAAATATTAATAGCTACTTAAATAACATCAGTACTTATTAAATTGATCAAAAACAAAATTTTAGTTAAAGAGAGCCATCACTTAGTGGATTCATACATCCAAATTTGACAGAAAAAAAAAAAAGAAAAAAAAGAATATAAAATAATAATAATGGATTAAACCACCCGCCCGATGCATTAGACTGTGCTCACCAGCCCATTTCTCGAACATTCGCTTAATTTATTGTTGTTTCCTGGGACCCAAAACAACAGTATATTAGAAGTTACGCCTCCAAGCTAATGAAGGCGCGTGTACAACACTCTCCTATATTTTATCCTAAAGTACAATATCTATAATAGATACGGTTAATTAATTCTGAATATATTTCACCAATTTTATAAAAAAATCATATTTTAATCGGTATAACATGATGGATGGCGAACAATCAGATATTTCGATTCATTTTTGGTTCAGTCCATACTGTATAGCATTAAAAAAAATGGTATTTAAGAGTATGATGATTACCTTTCTGAAATATTTTTTATTTAGAAATATAATAAAATAATATTTTTTTTATTTTTTAAAAAATATTTTTATATTTATATATCAAAAAAATCTAAAAATATAAAAAAATAATTTAAAATTAAAAAATTAAAATTGAGAAACTCCGTTCCAAACACATTATACAATTTCAAATACATGAATATTGATTTTATTTTAAAAAAAATCAAATGAAAATTAATGAAAATTATAATAAAAGTTATTGAAATACAGTATAAAATAAAAATAGTATGAAAAAAATATTTGATAGTGTGGAAGTTGTTGTTTTTAAAAGTTTTTTCACTTGAAAATATATTAAAATAATATTTTATTTTTATTTTTAAAAAAATTATACATGCATATTAAAATAATTTAAAAATATAAAAAATTAAAATTTTAAAAAAACTCTATACCAATCAAGTTCTCAGGCAACATTAAAATACATTAACATTGGTTTCATTTAAAAGGAAAAAACTTGAAGGAATTTATTGAAAAATATAATAAAAGTTCCTGAAGAGGCTTGTATTTTTCACAATAAAAAAATAAATTATAATAATAATTCAAGTGATTATAAAATGTTTACTCCATCTTTTAATTAATCAATTGAGTTACATAAATTACTTTGAGAATTAAAAAAAAAAAAGCTTGCTTTTCTCATTTAATCAAGAGTTTATTGCACGCTCTACGAGAGAGAATTGAGAAAATACTTTCCTTTTTTCAGGGGATCGTCACTCACGCGCACGTGACAGATATTAAAGAAGCTTTTGCTCTACCCTAAGATTGAGGTACCTGTTACCCTTACACACGGTGACCTCAGCTCTTGTTACTAAGAAGGATGTAAATTACTTTGATTTAAGTAACTCTTATTGCATTTAAAGAAGAAATCTTACATAAAATGTCAATATTCATTTTGGATAAAATAATGAGGCGACTTCAACTGGTTATCCTGGTTTAAAATATCAATTTTCTATTTTTACCATTATTTATGTTAGATTTTGATTGCCTCATTTAGAAGACAATGCTAGTTTGGTCTCTACTGAAGTTGATTGGTGATTTTAAAAAATATTTTTTAATAAAAAAATTAATTTTTCAATTTTTCAATTTTAAAAAATAATCTTAAAACATATTTAGAAATAAAACATTATACATTTTCATATGTCACTTTATAAGTATTTGAAAATACAATAATAGTTGTGATTTAAAATATTTTTCATTTCAAATTATATCAGAATAATTTTTTTTAATTTTTTAAATATTATTTTTAACATCAGAGTAAAATAATAGAAAATATAAAAAAATTAATTTTAAATAAAAAATTCAAATTTTTGAAAAACACAGTTTTTTTAAAACCCATGTTTTGTCCGCACATGGTTTTGTATTTTTCCAACCATTGACTTTAACCAATAAAGTGAAGAATTGAGCTCATGCGCGTCCTGAAGTTCATGCATGTTTCAGACGGGGATACCTACTAGGGTTAAAGCATGTCTCAAATGTCAAGCAAGATCCTATTTCACCCGGACAAAACCCCATCCGGCGTATAAAAGACAAGAAAGCAATCAAAGCATAGCAGCATATAAAAGACAAGAAGTGTTTACTTTTTCCCCTTTTTTTTTATCAACATCGATATTTAAATCTCAATAAATTTTATAAATTTTAACATTAATAATCATGACTATTAAAAAGTAAATTCAATATCTAATTAATTTAGTTATTCTTCGGGGTTTTTTTCCTTCTTTACCTCTTATATATTTGATATGTACAGTGGAGTCCAGGCAACAAGCAACGAGCTATCCTCGATGTCGATGAGTTGTGCTTTTTAACGAAGCATGTTGAGAAGAGAATTTACTAATCTTTTTGGAAAGAAAAATGTTGAAAGGAGAGTTATCACAAGGCCTTGATTCGAAGGGATTGTAGATATAATGCATTTTCTACTTTTATTTTGGTAGAAAATTATTCAGTGGTGATATCAAATAAATTTAAGAGAATGCTTATTCAGCAAAAAAAAAAACTGAATAAAATAAGAATTTATTTATTTATGAGTTTTAAAAGTGTTTTTTTTAATATTTTATATTTTTTTCATTTTAAATTGATATATTTTTAGCATTTTAAAATTATTTTGATGTATTGATGTCAAAAATATTTTTTTAAAAAATATTTGAAAATTAACTACATTCACATTACCATTTATACCGTTAATTATTAGAAACAACTATGCAAAACAAGATTATCTCAATGAAAACGTAGAGCATGAATAGCTAGGCCATGAAATGGAACAAAAATTGTATATATATAGTTTCTCTTTGTGAAAAGAAAAACATCTTTGAATCTCTACTATAGCATGTATAGTTATTAAAAAAAAATGCAATAATACTTTTTTTTTTAAACAGCAGAAATATCCAATTTGGTGACTGTTTCTTAAATTGGGTTTTTGTTTTCTTAATTTGTGTCGGTACCCACCATGAACAAATACAAGCAGCCTGTCTCGAAGCATGCTCATCAAGAGTGACGATATCTTGTTGAGGTGAGATTTATACAGAGTAAAATATATATACTGGAAATTATATTATTTTGTGAAAGTCTTATATATATTTTTATATTTAAAGTGAATTGTGAAATTTATTTTTTATATCATTATATTAAAATAATTTAAAAATATAAAAAAATATGTCGAAAATATGATTGGATTGTAATGTTAAGCAGACCCAAAGTATTCAAGTACTGCCCTGAGTGAGTCGTTAGGGCTCGTTTTCAACGTCAGCTTCAGCATTGGTTTGCTGAATGCATGACTTTCTGTGATCTACGTACGACAATAAAGTTGGTTGGGAGTTATTTCCATAACTTCATTTTCGCGACAATTGTCTTGTATAAAGGCAATTAACAGGCGTCTGTTAAAAGTAAAATATTTTACAATAAAATAAAATTTATGACATCACTAAATTAATAAGTAATAGCTTAAAAATA